AAAAACCCAAATCATTTTCCTCCTTTTATACTTTTGCCATAAACTCTGGATGTGAATTTTAATGGTCCAGGAAGAAGGGTGTGGTGGTTCGAATAAGAATGGCCCCCATAGGCTCATATATTTGGATGCTTGGGGACAAGGATTTGGTTGGTGGAACTGTTTGGGAAAGATTAGGAGGTGTGGCCTTTGAGATTTCAGTAGCCCAGACCATTCCCAGTTAGTTTGTGCTCACACTATCTCTTCTCCCAGCCACTTCTCTCTCTCCTCCTTTTATGCCTGCCTGTTGCCATCCTCACTGCCATGATGGTGATGGATTTTATTATCCTTTGGAACCATGGCCCCCAAATTAAATGCTTTCTTTTTTAAGTTGCATTGGCCACTGTGTTTTGTCAAGACAGTAAAAAAGTAACTAAGGCAAAAAGATTGAAAAAAAATCCCAAGGAGACTAAAATTTTTGAGACTTTGTATCCATGGAACTGTATAATACAGGCTGGCCTTGGACTTGTGGTGATCTTCCTGCCTCCATTTCCTGAGTGCTGGGATTACTGCCATGTGCCATCATGCCTGGCCAAAGAGTCAGAGTGTTAATCCCACCATATAAGACTACAGATCCTTATATTTTTGGTTGTGAGCCTAGTCTTTAACGGCTGAGCCATCTCTCCAGCCCAAAGCTACACAGAGAAACCCTGTCTCGGAAAAACAAAACAAAACAAAACAAAACAAAACAAAACAAAAAACTACAGACCACCAACCCAAAATTCAATTTTAGCATTTGGATTGGGGGCTTGATGTTGCTGAGGCCTCCAAGAATGTTAATACCACCAAGTGAGAAAGAAGACCACCACCCAAATTAGGGCCAACTAAGTAAGCTTTATTTACTATGCATAGGAGTGAATCTCCAAAGAGGGATTTGGGAGAGCAGTGTGAGTGATTTGGGAGACTTTTCAAGCCTCCTTTATAAGGGCAAAAGGTGCAAGTTGGGGATTTTCAGAGGAATTTGGTAACGTAAGGACTTGGCAAGCAAATTACAGAAGCAGACAGCAGGTAAGATTATTTGATAGATCATTTTGGCAGAACATCTCAAGATTTCTTGGCGTCTTATCAGGATAGAGTTCAAAGTACTTTCAAAGTATGAGTCAAACTCCACAATGTGGGGAGCATGTCAAATTCCATAAGTAGGTTAAAGCACAGTCAAACTTGACCTTTACAGTAAACAGAAACGAACTTATTCTGACCTTGTAACAAAATGGCTTCCAACCTTAAGATGGAGTTAGGCTGGTCCATCAAAATTCCTGCCTTGGCATTAAAATGAACTTGCAAGTCTTCTGAGAAAATATCCTTAAAAATAAAAATATTTAGTGTCCTTTTTGAAAATGTACACATCAAGAGCTTTTATCACGAATCTTGAGTCAAAAACTTGTAGCTAAGAATGCTGCTGATAAATTGCACACTAGATTGTGCATCCTATGCAAAGAGGACTTTTACGTGCTTCCTGTCTGAACTCTAAGAAAAACTGAACTTTGAAAAAAATGATCTATCCAACACATTTCAGACACAGAAGATGATAAATGGCAGCATGATGTTTTAAGTGTCACCTTCTAAAAATATCTAAAAATACTCCACTTCCTTAAAGGGGTTTATGGAAGGTGGGTGGGGCTGAGAGTTGCGTGGTTGTCAACTGACCTTTCCTGAAGAAAGCTCACGGTACGCAGATAAAGCCAAGGTTGTAGTTGAGTCTCAGAGGATCAACAACTCCAGCAGGAGATGAGGAAGGAGCCAAGGCATCAGGGAAACACCAAGGAGCCGGAAGACTGAAGCTTAGAGAAATTCCTCCAGGCAGCCACATGGTTTTACATTTAATTTTATTGATCAGAATTGAATTCATGACCATACCTGGCATCAGAGAAGTCTAGGAGACAGAGGCTTTTATTTTGAAGCAGAAGAAAGAAGAGGTAAGCACTGAGCAGAATATAGCAGACAGTCCCACCCAGAATGAAAGACACTGACTCATGATTAAAATCTAGACGAAGTGGATGGTTTCCCATGCATTATACAGTGCTAAAATGACTATATAAAGAAATGTTACAAGCCATATGTATAATCACATATAATACAGCTAAATAAGTGAAATTAATTCATTTTCTAGAACAACTTGATAAAGTTATTAGATTTTAATAGTCATTTTTGTATGTATATTTGTATGTGTGTGTATGCACATGTGCAAGTATGGTGTATGTGAGTATGTATGTACATGGCTATGGAAACTAGAGCAGGATATCAGATATCCTAGGTTGTCTGCACAGTATTCCTTTGAGACAGAGTCTCTTACTGAAGTTGGAGCTAGGCTGGAGGTCAGCAAGCTTCAGTGA